CTTTTTGCTTAGGAAAGTCTTGGCTATGTGGGCTCTCTTTTGGTTCCATATGAAGTTTAAGGTGTTTTTTTCCAGTTCTGTGAAGAAGCTCATTGGTAGCTTGATGAGGATAGCATTGAATCTATAAATTACTTTGGGCAGTATGGCCATTTTCACAATATTGATTCTTCTTAACCCTGAACATGGACTGTTTTTCCACCTGTTTGTGTCCTCTCTTATTTCATTGAGCAGTGGTTTGTAGTTCTCCTTGAAGAGGTCCTTCACATCCTTTGTTAGTTGTATTCCTAGGTATTTTGTTCTCTTTGTAGCAATTGTGAATGGGAGTTTGCTCATGATTTGGCTCTCTGTTAGTCTGCTATTGGTGTATAGGAATGCTTGTGATTTCTGCACATTGATTTTGTATCCTGAGACTTTGCTGAAGTTGCTTATCAGTTTAAGGAGATTTTGGGCTGAGATGATAGGGTCTTCTAAATACACAATCATGTCATCTGCAAATAGAGACAATTTGACTTCCTCCCTTCCTAATTGAATATCCTTTATTTTTTTCTTGCCTAATTGCTCTGGCTAAAACTTCCAATACTATATTGAATAGGAGAGGGCATTCTATTCTAGTGAATAGGTGAGAGAGGGCACTCTTGTCCAGTGCCAGGTTTCAAAGGGGATGCTTCCAGTTTTTGCCCATTCAGTATGATATTTGCTGTACGTTTGTCATAAATAGCTTTTATTATTTAGAGATATGTTCCTTCAATACCTAGTTTATTTACCACCTCATGCCAGTTAGAATGGCAGTGATTAAAAAATCTAGAGACAACAGATGCTGGAGAGGATGTGGAGAAATAGGAGCACTTTTACACTGTTGGTGGGACTGTAAATTAGTTCAACCATTGTGGAAGACAGTGTGGCGATTCCTCAAGGACCTAGAAATAGAAATTCCATTTGACCCAGCAATCCCATTACTGGGTATATACCTAAAGGATTAAAAATTGTTCTATTATAAAGACACATGCATACGTATATTCATTGTGGCACTGTTTACAATAGCAAAGACCTGGAACCAACCCAAATGCCATGGATGATAGACTGGACAAGGAAAATGTAGCACATTTACACCATGAAATACTATACAGCCATAAAAAACAATGAGTTCATGTCCTTTGTAGGGACATGGATGAATCTGGAAACCATCATTCTCAGCAAACTAATACAAGAACAGAAAATCAAACACTGTATGTTCTCACTCATAGGCAAGTGTTGAACAATGAGAACACATGGACACAGGGAGGGGAGCATCACACACTGGGGTCTGTTGTGAGGGGGGCCAGGGGAGGGACAGCAGGGGATGGGGAAGCTGGGGAGGAATAACATGGGGAGAAATGTCAGATATAGGCAATGGGAGATGGAGGCAGCAAACCACATTGCCATGTAGGTACCTATGCAACAATCCTGCATGATCTGCACAGGTACCCAGAACCTAAAGTACAATAAAAAAGAAAAAAAAGTAGAATAGTATAACAGTTCATATATATATACACACACACACATACAATTGTGTGGTTCAGGTTAGTGCCCAAAGGCCAGAAAAAGGCTCAGAGCTTTCTCTGTGACTGTAAAGTTTATCCAAGCCACCTTAGACACCATCACATGCTTTGCTTAAGCAAAGCTGCTTGTGCTTGTCAGAGGAGTTTCTGCATATTCTGAATATCCAGGGAATCTCTTGGCCCTACAGGTGGCACAGGAAACCCTAGAGAGGAAATGCGTCCCTGTTGGTGAAAGGATCTCTCCTGGCTTTTGGCGAGGGTGAGCAGTGTAGAGGAAGCATAATAAACTCTCTTAGGCAACATCTGATCTCCAACAGCTGTCCCACTTCTGAGGCTTCGTGCTTTCAGCGCAGCCACTGCCAATGCAACATCCTCCGGGTTTAAGGTTAGGTACCAGAAATATTTCTGCCAGAAGTTCATGATGTAATCAAAAAAGGATTCTCATGGGCTTGCACAATTTTAGGATCTGGGAGAAGAAGCCTTACCCAGCTCCACTTTGAGACCGTCCTTCAGTCTGTCCCACAGTGAAATCGCCCGACATCTGACTTTGAAGCCAGATTCTTGGGTCAGTTCCTACCTTTATGTGTGTAGCAAAGAACTCCTCCAAACACTTCCCTCCTCCACCCGTCCATCCCCACAGACATGTACCTCAGTGCCCTTAGCTTGTTCCTAAATGAGTAAACAAAGCTTCAGTAACATAAAAACATGATTTATGAAAACAAATCTCTCCCCAAATCTGCTTAGAGAAGCAGTGTCACATAACTGTAAGCAAAGATGAAAGACCATGATTAACAGGGTCCACATCTGTTTGGGGGAGGATGCAACTTGAGTCTCTGCCAGCCTCTACCTCAAAGAGTGTGTGCGCTAGGTCAGTGATGAAACTCGTGGCCCATCTGTACTTCCTGTGTGCCCCGCACTGTGCCGAGAGCTTCCCATGCGCTGGATCTCATGGAGGTTCACAGTCATCTGAAGAGGTGGTCCTGTATTCACCATGTTGCAAGTGAGTGGACAGAGGTGTGGAAAGGATGAGAGCTAGTGCAGAGAAGAGCTGGGGCAAGAGCAGTAGGACCAGAGGCAGGGCAATGTCTTGGGTTACCACCTGGTGGACAAACTACATAGGTGAAGATTAAAAGCCAAACAAAACTGGGCCTGATTTGTCAAATTGGGATGTCTCCATTGATCCAGTTGCTTGGATCATGCGTTAATTCTCTGCTGTTCCCTTTCTCATGTAAGCACCACCTGTCTTCCACAGTATGATGTGAAGCTGAGATCCACCCCACAAGGTCAATGGGGACATTAATCGGGGCATGTTTGAGGTGGGGAGAGGAGGGAGAAGCTATGTCCAGTGAACCTCAGTAAGGGGGATGCCTCTGCGTGTAGGGATGTCAAGGCCCTGGCCCCGTGTCATCCCAAGACAGGCCCCGTGTCACCCTGGGAGCTCTGCAAGGACAGAATCTGTGTGTCATTTCAGGAATTTCTAAGATGCTAATCAGAGGCCTTCCCCTCTGAGTCCTCAAACAAATAAGTAGATCCAAGGGTCAAGGATGAATTAAAATATCAGCATGGTTGTTTGCAGAGCTGTAATGGATCTGCAGAGAGTTCAGGGCTCCCTGTCTTCCTCTGTCTAGTCTCAGGCCACTGATAGAGTCCAGGGGACTGTGTGTCCACTGTTTTCTGAAAGCAGAGACAGAACCAGGCCCTGGACTTGCCATGGGGAGGGATATCTGCCACACAGAAGCAGAAGCCAAGAGCGTCTTTCCTCTGTGGTCCCTAAAGGAAAAATTGAGGAAGACCACAGGGAATAGCAAATCTTTCACAGCTTAAGCCACCCATAAACATCAGATTCTGCTCACCCCCGCCCCCCAGCAGCTGTCCTTCAGGAATGAGGGAATGGAGTGGGAATTTTTCCCTCAATACTTTCAGGGCAGAAGTCACCATTGGCTCTTCTCTGGATGTTTGTGCTTTTCCCAAATTCCTATACTGAAATTCACCCCACGGTGATGGCCTTAAGTCATGGAGGTGGAGCCTTCATGCATGGGATTAGTGGTCTTGTTAAAGAGGCCCAAGAGAGATCTCTTGCCTCTTCCACCATGTGAGAACACAGTGAGAATTCATCATCTAGGAACCAGAAAGCTGATTCACTAGACACGGAATCCGCCAGCATCTTGGTCTTGGACTTCCCAGCCTCCAGAACTGTGAGAAATAAATACCTGTCACGTATGCACCACCCCGTCCATAGTATTTGGTTATAGAAGCCTTGATGTACCAAAACATCATGCCTATGCCCATCAGCAGAATGAAGAATAGGAATCATCGTTGACCTCCATCACACCTTCCTGCATCCACACCCTTGCCGTGGCCTCATTGCTGGTGGCATATACTTCCCTGACTCTGGGCTCTGAGGTTGGCTGTGTGTTTTATGTTTAGCCAATGGAATGCAGATGGACATAGCAGGGTGCCAATTTTGAGATGAGGCCTTTAGAAGCCCTTGGGTTTCAGTAGACCGTCTTGTGCCTCTGGTATCATCACGGGGAGAACATGCCCCAGTTAGCTCTCTGGTCCAAGAAGGGTGAGGGACAGGTGGAAGGAGACATGGTAGACACCCTAGCATCCGTGATGGAGAGCAGCTTAGTCAAGCCCATTCTAGATCATCCAAACCTCAGCCAACTCATAGACACTCAGGTGGTAATGCAGGATTGCGGCTTAGGTTCATGAGTTTTGAAGCTGTCTGTTATGCAGCAACAGCTAACTCAAACTTACTTTCTATATTTGTTTTGGAATCTCCCAGGCTTAGCAAAACTCCCAGAGTAGTGTAGGTGCTCATAAAGTTTGTTTGAATGAATGAATGAAATCCCCTTTTTGTAAACGAACTCATCATAATGTTTCACTAATGGCTGGCATACATTGCAATATTTATCTATGTCATTTTGGGGGAATAATTAAAATAATAATAAAAAAAAACAAGGCAAGAAGTAACCTCTCTTGGTATGAGCTGCTAAGCATTTAAAGTCCTAGGAGTCAGAGATCATCTGGCTATCCTCAACATCACCTGTAGGCAGCTGATATATCACATGCCAGGGTTCGATGAAACCAGCCTCCTTTACCCCCCACTAAACTCTGATGGGATGAAATGAGCCAGTTTATCTGGAGTCAATCCTGATTCTGACTGTGCGGCCACCTTTTCCCTCAGGCATGTGAGTCCCATCAGAGGTTGCCAGTATGATATCAGATCCACTTTTTCTCCTGTTTTTCAGAGGAAATGTTCCAATACATCCGAGGAAACACATGCCTTCCCAGACCGGCCTGATGCTGTTCCCCAGGAGCTGCATTCTGGAAGGTGGACCATCAGGTGGAAGAAGTATTCTTCAGAGAGCTGCCTTCCCAAGGGAATGGTGACAGCTGGCGCTTGCCGGGGAGTCCTGCTGCCTTCCGAGGTGTGAAGGGAAGGCATGCACTGTGCATATGCTGTACCATACAGTTTTGCCTACAACTGCTTGTAGCTTCATTCTAGCTGTGAATGCTCTGTTCCTCTCCTTTTCACCCCTGAAGATTCGCGAACATGCAGGATTGAGCTGTGCGAGGCATAGCACTCCCCACATGGTAGGCGAAGGAGGATGTGGGTCTGATGGTTCTACCCACCGAGGCGGGTGGACATGTGTTCCAGGATATCAGAGCTTGCGGCTGACCAACCCACACGTCCACAGGCAGCCCTCCCACATGGCTGTGTCGACATTTTGGGTTTCGTTGAAGGTTTTAACTGGTACAGACTTTACAAAGGCAAAATTATTTCTCAAGGAAGTGGACATGAAAGATCTCTAATCAGAGGCTGCATAAAATGAGAAGCCGTCAGTTGCAGAAAAGCAAGCACTGATTAATGACCTATCTACATCCTACATGGTTTCAGGACTGCATGGCGATAAGCTTAAAGACGCTAGCCTAAAAACTATGAATGTGCTTCCGTCTTTGCCAGGTAGGATAAGAGAGCCTTGCAGACTTGCTTCTAACTAGAGAGGAGGAGAGGCTGAGAAGGGAGAGGGAGGAGAGGAGGAGAATGGGCGACAAGAAGGAGGGGAGAGTGAGCAGAGGAGGAGAGAGTCTTGTCAAAATCTTTTTAGTGCACAAAACTAATTTTGTTCATCTTGGATTTGGTGAGCTGGATAATATTCTGTGCACAGCTCCTAAATGAATTATTAAATGTCAACTCAAGATGGCTTAACTAAAATACTCAATTTAATAACCAAAAGTATCTAAGGTAACAGCAACAATTTTGCAGGTGAATGTAGAGTTGTCAAATCAAACCATTATGGACAAGCGTTTGGGGTTTTCACATAATCTCCTTCCACATCTCATCTCCCGTCACTAAATACCCACTCTGGTGAGCACGTTCCATCTCAATAAAGATCATCCCTTCGGTGCCAGCTTCTTTTTACTCAGATTGAACCAGAAAACCTTTTTTTTTTTTTTTCCTAAAATATAAAGCTAAACAAGATCTCAGTCACAACCACCAAATCTTTATTAATGCATTCCTTGTGCTACTTCTGAATATTAATAAAAATTAATAATTAATTTTGCCTTTGGCATTGCAAGATATACTAGTTTTAATTAGTGTACTGTACTCCTATACAATTAAAAAATAATTGATGTCCACGCTTATTGGCGGCGTCTGTGATCTTCTTTTCTGTTGTTGTCAACAAATGCCTTAAAAAACAAGTTCAAGAATGTTGTGCTGTCCACTTGATTTACACACCCAAAGTAACAGGCAAATCTTTTATGATGAAACAGAACAGTTTTCTGTTTAAATTATACACAAGTATATTAACTAGAAAGAGAAAATTAAAAGCTGATGGCTACAAGGAATAATGGAAAGTCTATAAAAATGTTTTATCTATCAACAAATTTGCCTGGAAAATATCAATGGTTGCCACCATCTCTCCGCTGAAACATGGAGAGGCCATCTTGGATCTGTTATGTCAATTCCACCAAGCATTTAATTCTGACGTCCTCCTTAATCAGCTTCAGTTATTTAAATTCGGCATATCATGTTACTGTTCTAGTACATCATTTTAATTGTGCCATGAACTACTTTATTATAGAATGCTAAAGTATTTCCTTGTGCCTCCTTCCTCTGTCTGAACAATGCCGGCTATAGAGAGAAAGCCCATGGTGAACGGAGAGAATAGCTTCCTTTGAAAATACTTGTGTCAAGAATCTTGCATAGAGAGAGGGTGGTTGTTGTTTTAGGGAGAAATAATTCAAATCCCACAACACATGATTCTTAGTTTTCTTTCTTAGAACCAGGATTTTTATTTTTTACAAAATCTCCATTGAACAATTACAGCTATGTCTGTAATACCAAGAAGTAATAGCCTAAGAGGAAAGAGACTTAGGAACGCATACAGCAAGGAAGAAAGAGTCAATGTGAGATGAGGATTTCACACTTTACCCTGGATTCACTGGTTAATAAGGATGTTTAAGGCAGAAGATCACAGATTGATGCAAATTTTTATTTTATCATATTCATGATCTTAATAGCAATTTTAATTTAAAAAAAAAAACTACTATAGCACAGTATCTGTCCAAAAACATCATCCTTGGTTTATTTTCCATAAGAGAATTGCCTTCAGAGAACTTACCACAATCTAAAGTCATCTTAGCCATGTACCCATTTACTTGTTCGCAATCTGTGACTCCTACTAGGTCCAAGTGCATGAGCCCCAGTGCCTGACTGCTCCCTTCACAGCTGCGCTCACAGTGCCAAGCACGGGCACTGTCTCTAGCAGAGCACTGACATTTCACAAATATCCGTGGAATGAATGTATTAATTCTGACTACAAATACGTTTTTTTCCTCCTCCTTTCTAGAGTCTTTCAAATTTTCTTTTTCCATGCCCATCAAAATGTGAATAGATTAACAAACTGTGGTCTAACTGTAGAATGTTCATTACCCAGTGATAAAAAAAAAGGAGCCACGAATACACACCATACCACGGATGAGTCTCAAAACAATGGGTTGAGCCGTGTAAGCCAGCTTCCAAAGAGTCTACGCTGTATATGGAGCTGCAGAGCAGGGACGGCTAAGCTATGGGGAGAGCAATCAGAACAGAGCACTCTCACTTCTGGAGAGAATCTCCCCAAAAAGAGGCATGAGGGAACATTCCAGGGTCATGAAAAAGTCGTAGCGCTTGACCAGGCTGGTGTTTGCATAGATTTTACACATTTGTCAAAACCGATGGAACTATACACATAAGAGCTGTGTGTGCATCCTATGTTAATTGTGCTTTAAATTGTAAAGTTTTAGTAACACACGTTTTGGTTTGTTTGTTTTTGTTTGTTTTCTAGCTCATTAGCAATGGAAGGAGGAAATCCAGGAGATGAATACAGTTGAGGGGCCCTGGAATTTCTGTTTCCATGTCGCTACCTCCATCCACAGTTTCAGAGAACAGTGCTACTAAGCATCGGAGTTGACAGATGTTCTCGCCCCTACTCGGCCCTGGTTCATTGTCCTACCTGGCTTCACCCCAACCCCAGGGGGCTACGACAGGTCTCTCTCATGCACAGGTGATGAAGGCAGGGGTTCCTTCATTGCAAGCACGCCGTCTTGGATGCAGGAAAGCACCCAGATCCTCTGCCAGAAGCTGTGAATAACACTCTTAACAGTCCATGCAAATGCTGTGGTCTATGTCTGAATGCCCAGCTGGTCTGCTGATCAATTTTTACTTCTCAAATTGGGTCAGTGAAAAAGGACAGTGCTTTCTGTTCCTGCGATCTAAATTCTCAATGTGATCTAAATTCTATTAACACTGGGGAACCTGAAAATTCCAAAGCAAGCCTTTAGCCTCACAGGGACCACCTTTCGGAAAGGCCCATTGACCTATTTTCTTTTTAGACTTTCCCTTTCTTTTAATTAAAAGGCCCAAATTTCCTGGATGTTAATCAAAGATTAGCTTGGGAATTAACATGCTGTGCATCACTCAGAAAAGAACCCAGTCGGATGGTGAAGTACACTCCTCTCCTAATCAGTCCCCAACCACCTCAGAAGGGCCTTCTGTGCAACTTCCTCGTGTCTGTGAGAGGAACCAAGACAAGCGGGAAGGCTTCCTGATATTGTGCTCTGGTGGGCAGGCGAGCTGCGGATCCGGGGCAGCCTTTGGGGATTCTCTGTTGGCTTGCTGTAAGAATTGGATCTTATCCTCTGACTGCACCTCAGAAGTCCTGATTTTCTCATCCTGACTTTGATTCTCTTTTCCTTTACTCATGCGTGATGGGTCTATATTTGACCAAAGGGCCTAGGCGTCATAGCTGGCCTTGAGCTTCCCAGTCTTAATCACTGTTTTTGATTGGCTCCTGGGGTATCCTGGAGACTTGTGGGTATCAGAACTGTATCCAATGGCCTCAGTTTCTCAAAGTGAGTTCTACACCTGGCACCAATGCTCTTGGTCTGTCCAGAGCTGTCCCTTCCACAAATCTCTATCTCTTGCTGCCCCTCAGGTTCACCTGGGGCAGCCTAGGTCATGTCTCAAGGACATCGAAAGGCACAAACACAGCCCCCCTACACAGTGCAGGCGTCTGAGAATGACTTAACATTGCACACAATGTGGGATATGATCAGGGAGGAGACGAGATGCTTCCTCCAGCCAGAGGCAGAGGGCATCGGGGAGAGCATAGCCCCCAGGAGTGACACTCAGGCTACATCCTCAAGAAAGGGACAGTTTCAGGTGGAAGAGGATGTTCTGGGCTCCACAGCCAAAGGAATATTGTCTGATGAAAGAATACGAGCTGTTTTTCGAAAAGCAGTATTTCCCTGAAATTCCAACACGCTCATGCTGGCTTCACGTGTGTTGCCATCTCACATACCCCCTGAGCACATATGGCCTCCCCAAAGCTTGCTGCAGTCAGGGCGGATGGGAAGGACATGGGGAGAGCTGTGGGCGGCACCAGCCAAGCACAGATCGGGAAGAGCGTCAGGAGGTTGATTCCTCTGTGCTGGTCGCTGCTGCCTGTCTCTGTGCCCCATCTGTAAATGGGGCCTGTGGGGTCGGACTCAGGGAGTTGTTGTAAAGGCTAATGAGGCCCATTGCACCCTGTCCCTGACATGTTTGTTGTAAGGGCTGAATGCATGATAGATATTATGAAGAGTTTTCTATGTTGAAATCAAAAGATAAGAATATTTGCCTTAAGTAACCACAAAAGGATGACTTTTAAAGAAAAAGAAACAAGCACTTTCGGAGACTGAGGCAGGTGGATCACTTGAGGTCAGGAGATCAAGACCAGACTGACCAACAATGGTGAAACCCCGTCTCTACTAAACACACACACACACACACACACACACACAAATTAGCTGGGTGTGGTGGTGCACACCTGTGATCCAAGCTACTTGGGAGGCTGAGGCAGGAGAATCGCTTGAACCTGGGAGGTGGAGGTTGCAGTGAGCCAAGATCATGCCATTGTACTCCAGCCTGGGCAATGACAGTGAAACTATATCTCAAAAATAAATAAATAATAAAGAAAAAGAAACAACAAAAAAATCAGAGAATCATATAACCAGGCCACTTTAGTCCCTGTTTTCTTCTCCCGTCACCCAGCCCTGTCCTCAGCCAGCTCTGCCTTATCCTGACTGCTGAGTCTCACCTGCCCTCTCAGAATTCGGTGGCCTCTGCTCAGCCAACGTCACCTTTAAAAAGTTAGTGTTTTAAAATGGTCATGGAACCAATGTCCCAACCGCAATTGTGTTCCCACCACAGGGTAGTTTAGGGCATGCCCTTCAGAGACCTCAGCTTTCACTGCTCCCCACACTCCCACGTCACCAGGGGCGAGGCT